GCTCATGTCCAGCTTTTCATCCACCGGTACCCCCAAGTCCTTCTCAGCAGGGCTGCTCTCAATCTCTTCATCCCCCAGCCTGTACTGATAGCAGGGGTTGCCCCGACCCAGGTGCAGGACCCTGCACTTGGCCTTGTTGAACCTCATGAGGGGAGGACATGGGGACACAATTCTTTCACCCTAGCAGCTGTACCCACCAGGGCCAGGCTCAGACAGGCTGAGAGGGTTTGCCCTGCAGCAGCTCACACCCTGTTTGCTCTGCGGATAAATAGGGAAGCTCAGTCTCCAGAGCTGTTGCTCCTTCACCTCTCAGAGCTCTGCCCACAGCCTCCCGGCATCCAAATAACCCAGCACCTCTCCCCACCACTATTCATGCATGTGTTGTATTTGAGAGAGCAAAGAGAGAGGATAAAGATTATTGCTTCAAGATAAGACAAATATTTGACAGTAGGCTTTCGTACAGCCTCTTAGCACAGGTCAGACATTTTCCAAGTTCCTCTATTTGAATGCATTTCATTCATGCTGCGCTACAGCTGCCATCCCTTGCGATGTGACCCAACCATTACGGCTGGCACCTCTCACCCTCTCCCTTTCGGCACACTGATGTATGCTCTCTGAGTTGTTCTGGGGTTACTTGCAGACAGGAGGAAAGCCAGGCTGCATGGGCATCGATGGGAGGCATGCCACGCTGCTGGCCAAGCTGGAAGCCAGCTCTGTCTGATCTGACAAACAGTTGCTTTAGAGAGCAGCCCAACAGGCCTTGGCCAGCACTGCCGCCGTCCAGCCAAGGGAGGGGAGCAAGGGTTTGCCCATCAGTCCAGGGCCCACCCTCCCAGCCAGGCAGGCACTTGACCTGAGGTGAGCTCTCAGCTGTGATCTGCGTTTTGTTTTTAAAAAGCTGCTCTTTGTAAAAAGGAAAGGGCCAGGGGAACCCATGAGCAGGCATTTACATGTAGAAACCAGCACCACGGTGACGTGGTGGTGCCCCAGTTCGGTTGGCCACCCCGGGCTGTAATCACCAGTGATGGGAGCTGGAAGCAAGGACCTGGGGAGGGCTCTTTCCTCCAGGGCTGGGAGCAGTGGCCCAATGGGGACACCCAGACTGCCTCCAGAGCCGGCTGCCTTAGGGTTGCCAGCCTTCTCATGCACACGTTTCTGCGTAGAGCTGTAACAGCACTGAGAATCGGGGGTTAGGTCTTTTTCAAAAGTGTTCAAAGCCCCTCTCTGCACATTTTGGATTTGTGAAAATCCCGAGGGGGATGGCGGTGAGAAGCTAAGCAGATTAACCGCTGAAGCTGAAGTCAGTGGGAGCTGAAGTTTCTTAGTCACTTCTGAAAATCCCCCGGCACACCTATCAGTGCTGCTGGGCACCAGCAGATCCAGCACACTGCACAAGCCCTGCCGGGCTGCTTTCTGGACCTGTGCTGCGGCACTACGTGATACTGCGCCACACCCTGGGGCTCTGCCCTGCACCCGGTCGTTACATGCCTCTGCTTGGAGGTAGCAAAGATGCCCCTGCGATGTCCCTCGGCTCAGTCACAGCTCAGCGGCACGGCTGGAGCAAAGTCTCATCCTCTCGCTCCCAAGAGGACACTCACCCGAGGACCCTCCCTCCTCTCTGCTGAAGAGAAAACGTGTGTCATAACCTGTCCTACACCCCCCGAGGTCAGCTCTAGGACGGTGGTCAATAGCTACAGTCAGACAACCTTGCAAGCGCCCCTGAAATAAGTTAGCAGGTGCTACTGAAATAAAGCGAGGAGGAGAGAGGAGAGGGAAAAGAGGAAAATTGGAAGACTAAGTGAAATGGATTTGAGCTGCTCTTTCAGCATACCTGTTCCTCTCAAACTGTCAGGGAAAATCAATGTACAAATGTGGAAATTCCAAGTCCTGGCACACTCCAAACATGCATCCACGTGGATGATGCATCTCAGTGTGTCCGTCTGCACACACGCACCCTCTTAGTCTGCCAGAGATGCCACCCAGCTGTATGGATCACACTTTAATAAGGATTTATGGTGATGATTTTCACAGCGTAATAAGTGCTAATTCAATACTAATAGAATATTAAATGGCACGTTAACTGACATTTTAACTGCAATGCAATGGGAGCATGGCATCAGCAAGATATCAAATGACTCTTATCGTTCACTAATAATCAATAATCAAGTTCACAGAGACAGTCAAATGCTTTTCATTAGGCTTATTGAAAGTATTACCATCAGCATCAGTGAACGCTAATAAATGATTTGTGATCCATCCATTTTGCTTTTCCTTACGGTTTCAGGTTTAATTTCTTGACATCTGCTGATGCAGCTAATGAGAAGACCAGCTAGCGGTGATGGTCACGCCTTGCACGACCAGTGCAGGGACACAGGAACTATTGATCTTAGCACCAACTCAAACCATAGACACAGAAGGACAAAAAAAACTTGCTGCCATGTCCCTTTAGCCCCCCTTGCCCTCTCGTAAACAAACACAGCAAAGTTTGGCACCTGAGGTCTTTTAGTGTCTGCACCATTTTTGGCTGCTATAGATGTATTTCCAGTTCTCACACAGTGGCTAACAACCGCGTAACAACCAGCCAGGAGAGGATGGATGGAAACCGGACGTGAAGAAAGGAATCTGGGCCATCCTTGCACGCCTCCCTTAGCCTTGGTTTCCCCACACGCAAAATGCAGACGATGGGGCTGAGCCATGCCACGGGAGGGAGGGGAGGGGGTGAG